CTCGTTCAAATCTGCTCTTAGAAACGTGATCTTTAATAATGCACTGAACTGGCCCAATCCTTGGTTCCTTCTTTTATAAAATGGGGCGATAGCCCCAAATGTATAGGATTGTTATAAGGATTAAATTGTCCAGTGCATGTAAAGGGTTTAGCACCATGACTACACAAAGTAGAAACTCATCAATAGTTGTAGTGCTTTTAATCATCCTTTGATTTTAGAAGCAACATAGCATAACAGGTACACACCTGAATCAGCGACATGAAGACCTGGTCATGTCAGTACCCTTTGTCGAGTCACTCATTTCTCTGAGCCTCCATTTTTACATCTCCTCAATAGCGGAGGGTAGGATTTATATCACAGGGTTGTTGTGAGAAATGAATGAGAGACTGGCCTATCTTAAGTGTTCAGTAAAAGGAAGATGTAATACTCAGACTCTTATCTCCGAGTTCACTCTTGCTTCTGGTTAGAACCAGTTTCGGACTGATGAGATCTGAAACCATCCCAGGACATGGAGAAGACCTAAATCTCACACCCGTCTTTGTCCTAAAGTGTCTTGAGGAAGTTACTTCTTATCTTTACTCTGTTTTCCTTCCTCTGTGAGAACTCCCTTTACCCCCTCCACACTTCAGGATGGATAGAGCTGGTTATGGGGTTGCCAGAGGTGAGGAGTGTAGTTGCTGTCTTTTTCGTTAGGAGTCTGATGGCAGTAAAATCAGAAAGAAAGCGGCTTAATGTGTTCAGGCTGCTATAACAAAATACCATAGATTGGGTGGCTTATAAACGACAGAAATTTCTTTCTCACAGTTCTGGAAGCCGAAGTGTAAGATCAAGGCACCAGCAGATTTACTATCTGGTAAGAGTCCCCTTTGGGTTGAAAGACTGATAAGACAGGCATCTTCTTGCTGTACCTCTCATGGCAGAGGGGGCAAGGGGCCTCTCTCTCAGGCCTCGTTCATGAGTACACTAATGTCAATCATGAGAGATCCGTTCTCATGACCTAATCACCTCCAAAGGCCCCACCTCCTAATAACCTCATGTTGGACATTAGGATTTCAACATATGAATTTGGGGGTGAGAGGAGATACAAACATTCAGTCTATGGCAGAAAGGGATTTTTTTTTCTTTAACAAATGCAAACATGGCCCAGATTATAATGAAATAAATATCCTAAGATTACTGAATAATTGCCCTGGATTGTCGAATTCACTTATATAAAATCAGTTGATGAGAGTTAGCATTCTCGTACCTAAGTATTTACTTGAACATTATATTAACAGAAAAATTAAAACTGTAAAAAAACTGCTTTTCTTATTAACAGTATTCCAAAGCAGAATAGACATATATAATTTTGAGGAATATTTGATGAGTTTGAGTAATGAACTCTGCATTGAATCAACTTCATTTTAGATCAAGACTAGACCTGGCTATGCGTATACACAGGCTGCCAAAAAAAATGTATCCACATTTTAAGAAAGGAAAAAACTGTATTAAAATTGTGATATTCAATATATACCAATAACAAAAGATGAATATAAGTCATGTGTATACATTTTTTTGGCACCCCCGGTATGTACGTAGGTAGATAGCTAGTCAGTTTTTTTCTCCATCTTCTAGTTTGCTTCTTGGCTCTGCCAGCCCTGAGCACAGTCTTGTCTTCACATCTTTTGCCATCTGACAGGCTTTTTGTACAGGGTTTTCTTCTAGGAAATACCTGGTAGTATACTGTCCTCTCTGGTTTTGCAAGGCTTTTTTGCTTGAAGCATTACTCCTTTAGGGACTAGTCATTGCCTTCCTTATAGAAGACAGAATGGTCAGTGACTAGGGAATGCTGAGAAGTCAGGCCTTGGGTTATTCTGATCCGGCTCCGACCTTAACTAACTGAGCAAGTCCTAATGGATGTGGAAATGGATTCTCTTAAGAAGACTTCACTAAATGGTTTTCCATCCTCTTTGGGCATCACATTATTTATCTGTACACACAAAAGGTTGGACAAGATGCTCTCTAAGGACCCTTCCAGCTCTAAATTCTGTGATTATATTCTAAATGTTAGGACAACATGGTGCTTACTGGCATCACCATTAATGAAATTATCCATCATTTATCTTACAAAGGAAAAAGCATGCACCAAAAGCAACAGACCAGCCAAGCCTGAAAATGTGTGTGTGTGGATTTTTATCACACCCACAGCTCTCTAGTGATACTTGTGATGAATGTGGATGTTGCCTTAAAAAAAAAAAAATCCCAGCTGCCCTGGGGTGGCCCTACCTGCCTTTTTGTTTGGGACTTGGACAGAGCAAACATGTTCCATTTCAATGTAGCTCTGCGTGCTTGAGGCTCGGAATGGAGCTGAAAATAAGAGTTTGTGCTTAATACCTGTTAGTAAGAGATTATTTTGCAAAAAAATAAAAAATGTTCTTAACATCTCCTTCTCTCTTAGTTGCCTATTCACACAGACCTGGCCCCATACTTCATAAAGAAGGGTCACAGGAGGTTCCCAGGTGGGAATCTCGCTCAGATTCCATACCCTCCATTCTGGAGATATTCATTAAGTTTCAATCTTTATCTTTCTTCTTCCTGTTACAGAGGACGAGGTGTCCTGCCAAGACTAAGCCTCTACAAGTCCAACACGAGACCTCATCTCCTGTGAACAGAGCTAGGATCTTGATCCAACTCTCCTGCTTCCTCCTCCGCTTTAAAAACCGCACAACTGTCTCCTGTCATCCTAAAAAGATTTTTAGTGACCCTCCGAACCTCCTTCTCAAGATTCAGCCCAATAGTCCTCCTTCCATTAAATGGCCAAAATACGTGTAGAATAATTTCTCGAGTTGAGTCTCACTTCATGGGACTAAACCATTAAGATTGTTTTTTGTTTTACTCCCGTTTTCAGTAACCTTAATCTTATTTTGTGTGTGTGTGCCTCACTCAAAATTAGATAACAGAAATGGTTTTCTTTCTCTTTTTTTCACGTCCTTTTTTTGTTCAATTACAATTGATATTTAGTATTTTATATTAGCTTCAGGTGTACAGCATAGTGGTCCGACATTTATATAACTTACAAAGTGATCCCGATAAATCTAGTACCCACCTGGCACCGTACATAGTTATGACAATATTGTAAAGCATAACATAGGGAATATAGTCAATACTGTTGTAAGAGATTTCTTTCTTTCTTTGGCCTTTCCTGTAAATCTCATTTCCAGATTTGCTCCAAATTAGGGTAAAGGTTACGTGGAGTGGGGAAACAGGAAGAAGGGAATCGAGGACATAGTGCTGTGGTGAGGCAGTCCGCTCAGGCGTGGTACAGCTCTGCCTTGGCGCCCTTCTCTAGTGATCCCATTGCCTGGCCATCTCAGATTCCTCATCGGGTGGGCGTGTGCTCCTCTGGGTGGCCTCTGCAATCCACCCAACACCCTGTCCAGCAGGCAGCATGCACAGTGCATCTCCTTGAGGGCGTTAACCATCCAGAGCACCTTTTACTGCTCACCCTTTTCCCTGCTGTCTGCAGAGGAGCTTCCTCCGACCATCTGCTACTGCATTAGTCAAAGCTTAGCAACTCGTCCACATGATTTCTCTCCCAGAGCTGTAGGGTTGGTCCTATTGTGCACTGCATGTCTGTTTTTCTCCTTTCTTGAGGAAGTTTCCTTTTTGCATTGCATTCTGTTGACTTGAACATGGATCCCAGATACTTGTCACCGCAAAAACTCCTTAGCATTTCCCCTTCCCTAGTCCAGTGTTGCACAATTGTAGCCTAGCGAGGAGTAACAAGGAAGCTGTCATAGACAGACGGAAGAGACAAGGGCCAGGAAACCTGAACTTGAGTTGGTTTGTCTCTGACTTGCTTTCGTGACCTAGGGCAAGTTACGGTACTTCCCTGCCTCAGTTTCCTTATCTGTAAATACATGAATAAAAACAATCTACTTAACTTCTTGAGTTTTGTGAGAATCACTTGAGATCATTAAGGGGAAAAAATCTCTGGGAAGGTAAATTGTTATACATAAATACTGTTGTTTTCTTAAATTTATGAGCAGCAGCTATATCATAATTCTAAAATTGCCTCAGCATGTCATAGCAAGAACTTTCTGTCCTGGTGTGAAACAGTATAAGACTTAATGTCCCTAATCTGAGCATCTACATTTTAAGCATTTTTCCCTGTTGGGGAGATGCACTGTGGTCCCCTTAAGTTCTTTTATCAGCGGAGTTGACACCCTACTGCTAGACTCCGGTGTGCGAGAGACTTCTGGCTGAAGATGACGGGCCTAGAATTGAGTCAGACTAGAGTCTGGGCTGCCTGTCCACATCCTGAGGTTCCATTCCTTCCTGGAGATGGTGGGTAAAAGCACTCATCAGTCAGAACCTCCTTGCAAAAAGCTTGACCATCCCCTGCCTCAAGCTTTTCTGCCAGAAGACATCATAGCAAATTGAAGGCACTACCCACCTTGGTATTCTTTTGCAGACTAGCAGACTAGCAACTTTTTGGTTGTGCTAGAGAAAATTACGTGAGAATTTTTTTTTCAGCACTGTTCAGTAGAGCTAGCAACAATATCAGGAGACACGTTACTATTGTCAAGCACACGATCGTTCAGCATGATGTCTCTGTGCCTGAAAATGCAAAGCCTTGTTTCAAGCGATATGACCACTTCCTTTTGTTTCTGGACCCCCTTTCCTTAAGCCAACAACATGGCCCCTGTCAGAGCAAATGGCAGGATTAGGTCAGGTTAGCACACTTGCCAAAGATTTAGGTAAGAGGTGTTATACAAATGTCTAAATGATTGCATCTCAGAACTTTAAGACATCTAAAAACTACTTTCACGTAATTCATTATTGTTCATATTTGTGACTATTTGATAAGCCCCAGAACGTTTTGCTGCCATAGAAAATAAATCATTCCTAATAGCTGAATTTTTTTTTTCATATTTAACCTTGAACTTTTCCCTGAAAGAGCCAGCTGTCATCATCACGTTTTTCTTTACTTACTGCTGTTTTGCTTCTCTCTGCTCTAGGATGGTCGTCTGCGGATGAATGACCAGCTGATTGCAGTTAATGGGGAATCTCTTCTGGGGAAGTCCAACCACGAAGCGATGGAAACACTTAGGCGATCGATGTCCATGGAAGGAAACATACGAGGGATGATCCAGTTGGTGATTCTGAGGAGGCCAGAGAGACCAGTGGAGGTATGCAAATCTTTATTTCCCTCAACAAGTTCCCCAAATGGCCACCTGAATATGCAAACCCCATCGCTAGTATGGTAGCTAGACTCATATTGATTCTAAAATTGGAAAAACATGTCTCAGAAGGGCTCTGATGGATTTATGTGGTGAACAGGTGGTTGTATATTTTAGGCGTAACTAGAAGGTATAAAAATGTGCATAAAAAGTAAGTAATTTATCAAATGTAACAGGTCCATATTTTCTAGTTTGTTTTTTTTCCCCCAGAAATTCCTAAAGCTCTGGACTTTATGAATAAGGCTTTATTCACATAGTAATTTATTAAAGTATGTAACATCTTTCTATACTTTGTGAGTGAGGTGCTAGCAGTATCCATACCTTAGAAAATTCTTAACCAGATATGTACAACGCTCAATGTGAAGATCATTATAATGTAACCAGCTGTCTCTAGTCCCCCTATAATATGCACATGGATAGTATAGAACTGGGATTTAACTAATTTAAAATCTGATCTGTTAAGCAAGCTGCTTGCTTCATGTTATTAAATAATAAATGTTTTTAATTAAATATTCTTGAAACCTTTTATCATGATTTCTTTATGAATATTCTTAATGGAAGGGATATTTTTGCTTACAAATGAAGTATAAGCATAAAATATTGTTGAATGCTAATATATACTATAAACATTTTCCTTACAGTTATGTTTATATTATATAATTATATTATTATATTATACAATTATATAATTACATTATACAATTATATTAACATTGTTTTCTCTTATACATGAGGAATAATTATTAAATGTTCCTAAAAATTAAGAAAAGAAGAAAAAATTTGGTAGTAGTTAGGAGTGAATAAAAATATCAACAAATCACACATATTTTCTAAGGATAAAGTTTGTGTAATACAATAATATGCAAAGTTAAAATAAAATACTATTTAAAAGACACTAATATAAAATATTAGTTTTAATAAATTCCAACTTAAAAATTAAAAGAACATAAGGATTTTCAAATTATCAAGAGTAGAAGGTAGTTGAGGAAAGTAACAAACAAACAAGACAAAACATCATAGACACAGGCAACAGTTTAGTGGTTAATAGAGGGTAAGGGGGGAGGAGGAAGGTAGAAGAGGGTAAAGGGGTCCAATACGTGGAGATTTGACTCTGGGTGGTAAACACACAATGCAATATATAGATGATATATTACAGAATTGTACACTTGAAACCTATATAATTTTATTAAGGAATGTCACCCCAATATATTTAATTAAAAAATTTTAAAGAAAGTAGTTGGGGTTCATAGTCATTAAAACCTGGGGCTCTAAAATTTTGGATTATTTGAGTTAAAATCCCAGGCTGGCCATTTTTTGGCTACGTAAAGGCATAAATAGTTGCGTGCTGGGTACTTATAGAGGACAGATACTGTTGTCTGTTTTATCCCTTAATGTAGCCTCATTTCCCAACAAATCATAGACACTTAATAAATATTGCTGAATGAATGAATAAAAGTTGCATCTGAGACCTACTTCCTCTGAGAGGGTAAGCCGAAGTAGTAAATATAAACTGCATCTTACTTTGTTATATTATCAGCTATTGGAAAAGAGGAACTGTACCTTCTTACTCTTCTATACATAACCTTGTAAATGTTAAATAAATGTAAATTGGCCAATTACTGGAGACTATATATAATGAGCCAACTCTATTTCAACATTTGTGTCTGCTTAAGTGACAGAGAGGCTTCCATGAATATTTAACGGATTTTACTTATGTACATAGTTATAAAAACCTTATTTATTGCTTCCATCCATGAGGGAATTGGCTCCTTTCTGGTTTGATTTGATTCTTACTCTAGAGCCCTAGGACTTCATGGAACCCAGTTGTTGGAGATGGGTGTGGAGGCTGGCCTGTCTGTGCATCTGTGTATTCAGTGTCACAGATTCATTGGAGCAAAGATGACTCAACTAATAGAAAAGCCTAGAGGACACTGCTATAGAGCACCATACCTGTGCAGTAAAAAAAAAAAAAAAAAGAAAAGAAAAAAAATTGAATATGGTTCTTAAGAGTTAGTTAGCCCCCTACCTCTCATCTTCCCTAATTTCATGTCTTTCTCTAAAACATATGAATGCTTAGCGGGTAAGTGTTCTGTATTTTGGCTCATCTAGTTGAGACATTTTATCATTTTCATTCTCCCTTATTGCAGATTTTTTTCATTTTAATTCTCACACTCTGAGGTGGGCTGACAGTTATACCATCAGAAAGTACTAAATTTTCAGTTTGTTGCCCATCCTCAGAAATGTCTTGTTAATATAGTTCACTGGGGAATCAATTGGGAATAAGAAATGGGACAAAAAGCGTTTTTTATGAGGACATTTAAACAAGATCCATTTTTAGTTTTCTTAATATTTACATGCATTCCATGGGGTATACGCAGGCATTTGACTCTCTCTGCTATTGAGAATCTCTGTGGTATCCAAGAAGATTAAAGAGCATTTTTTCTTATAAAGACAGCAGCCTAATGTATAGCTAATCTTTATTAAATTGCAAAAAAAATAAATAAATAAAAAATCTGCAGCTATTTGATCTCCCAAATCTGTGTTTTACTCTGTCAGTGCGTATGTTGTATGCTCATGTTTTTGGTAAAGTCTCCTGTGAAACAGCAGTCACCCTCAGGTACAATAAAAAAAGCATCTGTAACCTAGAAAAAGGTCTCAGCAGTACTCATACATTCAGGCAAATCAATTAGTTAGACTTGGCAAGAATACCAAAACAGTTACTTGAACCTTGTATTGATATAAAAAAAAAATTGAAGAAGCTACTTAAGAAAAGTCAAAATATAGAGTTGTTGGGGTATTTTCCCACATTACCCAGATGTACAAGCTACGTAAACAGTTTTGATGAGGACCTCCTGAAGAATACATAATGAGCCCTTGATTTAATCAAAATCATTTTAAACAGAAACATGTTTTTCAAAGGATGAGCTTGAGGTTCAATTGTAATTCTATTTGAGCCTGGAGACTTGGTATTAAAAAATGGGTTATGACCTGTTTCCCCCCCANCACCCCCACCCCCCACCCCGTCCCCAAAACATTTCCCTTCCTGCTGCAAGCTCATCTTGGTAGAAGCAGAATATGTTTTAAAATCCATTATATTTTTTATTGGCTGGGACACTAATGGAGGGCTCCACGACAGCTCTATTTTACAGGCTGAATACTTTAATTAGGCTGGTTACTGATCAGTTGTTGGGGTATCGATTGTGTCATTTATCAAAGAGCTGGGAAAGCAGGGGGAAAAAAATGTTTTGTTGTTAAGTCAAAGCATGAGGCTATGCAAGGTGAGTCCTGCCTTTCCTGCTACCTGGGCCCAGCTTTAATTTTAAAATAGTTTGCCTGCGTACCAGCCCTGGTTTGACACAAGCAAAGCGGATGGGGTCACTGGGTGTGGAAAACGTGTTACAAGCCTTGAGAAAAGGCTAGTGGACTTTCAGCAGCTGAAAACATTTTAATTATTAAGAATGCATCAACGGAATGCTTTAAATATTTTGTTTAGCAGGATACGGAGGTTTTATAACTAAGGAGGAAAGTATAAATCAAATACATTGTTTGAGCCAAATGCTTTTTGAAGAAGGAGAGGGCTTTGGAGATCAGAGCTGTGTTTCTGTTTGTGGCCGGCTCCTCTCACAAGTGGTCAAGGGCACAGCCATGAGAGGGCTTCCAAATGACTTCCTCGAAACCTGTTCGGAAGACACAGAGTATGAGCAATAGTAAAACCTAGTTCTCTGTGCCCCAATCCTCTTGAACAAATAGCTCTCTGTAATCGGCCCCCTCCTATTACCATGCCTGCACCTGTGGAACATGGCTCGTGGGAGTGTTATTCTGGTTTTAAGGAAACTGTGAATTTGTTTACAGACTGTCAAAATCAAAATAGGGGGAATATGGAAAAAGAAAATGACAAAAATATCTCAGGAGAACCACTGCCTGGCATTGTCACAGCAGTTTGTTTTAGCTTCTGGCCAAAAAGACCTAGTGTCTACAGTGGGACACACTGCTGGCATTTCGGTGGCGAGCCTGCTTGGGTTCTAACTTGTCCTAGAGCATATGCACTTAGTCGCCAAGGGAGAGAGAGAGGAACCAGCTGGTTGGCAGAGAAACACCCTTGGCATGAACTGTATTCTTGTGTTGACACTGCCACAAGCTGTACTCCCAAATGTAGGAAAATTTGAAAGAAGCCAGTTGTAAGTGGGGGAAAAGAATAATAAAGTTAATCCTCTTTTGTGTTGGCTATCAGCACTCCTAATCCTTAGCACCACATTGTCAGTAATTTTTTTTTAATTCATATTCGAAGACGTTTTAACTGAGAGGACCATTTTGATTTTCCACAATTGAGGGTTTATATGCAATAGACTCTTGAAAGATTATTCATAAATCTATCGTTCTTTCGCTTTGCTTCCAGTGACCAAGTTGGAACATATTAGAAAAGCAAATATAATTTCTATTTTTATCCCTTAGGAGCCTGCCGAGTGTGGGGCGTTTTCTAAGCCATGCTTTGAGAACTGTCAAAACGCTGTAACCACATCCAGGAGAAATGAAAATAGTACATTGCATCCGTTTGGCACTTACAGTCCACAAGACAAACAGAGAGGTAAGGCTCTATCCATTTTCATCCACTGCACATGGTGTGAGAAAACACGAGTATGTTTTTATTAAAAAACAAAAACAAAGGGTAGTTAATTAAACTAACTCCAGACTTTGTTATTCTGAACCATGAGCACTGAGAAGTGGGTGGGAGAGCTGACTCAAAAGTTGTGAAGCGGTTTCCTGGTGTTGCCTCCAGTTGAAGTGCCAGTTCTGCGCTTGATGCCTGAAACATGGAGGGTTATGTATGAAACAAACCATGCCTGGAGAAACAAAATGGCAAACTGTTCTTATATATATTCTTACAACCTTTTAATATTGGAAGTTAAGAAGTATAAATAACTCCTAAACTTAAAAAATGTTCACACTACTATGAAACCATAAAATGGTCATAACGTGATTCACAGATTTACGCTGGATTCTAAGATGAGTGTAGTAAATACCATGAACTGAGAACACTGTGACAGTTGGCAGGTTCTTGTGATGGTCTCACTGAACTGTCTTTCCTTTATTATCTGCTACATAGAGATCACATTTCTAGTAGAACTCTAGATGTATAAAACTTGGATTTTCTTTTTTTTTTTTTCCCAAAAGTTATATTTCAGGTCACCAAGAAAATTCTTGTCTTTCCCTGCATCTCCTTTCTCTAATAATTTTAATTTTTGTATTGTAAAAACAATACATATTCATTACAAAAGAAAATTTAATATGACCCATACTTCTATCAAATATACTAATCAATAACGTTTTTATGTATATATTTCAAGTCTTTCCTCCATGCATATATGTGCATATAGAGTGAAATGGAAAAGAAATATACTAGGTATAATGTTTAGGAAATTGCTTTTTAAATTAATAGCACATTATGAGCACCTTACAATGTCACTGAATGTTCTACAGCATCACATTCAATGGCCTACTGAAGGGAGGTAGTATTAATGTAATCAGTCCCTTATTTACACTTAAGGTATTACCAATATTTAACTATGTGGGAACAATTTCTAAACTCTGAGATTACTCCATCAGAGCTGACTTGTAAACCTGTGGTTCCTCTAGATTAAATTGTCTCATCAGAAAGTGATGTTGTTTTTTCCTCTGAATTCCTCCATTTTAGTGAGAGTAGTAGCAACAGCTGTGACCATTTATTTATTGTTTACTGTCTGTTAGATACCGTGTTAAGCAATTTACATGCACACTCGAAGTGGGTAATATTATTAGTCACATTTTACAGATGAAGAACTAGAAAGCCAGAGAGAGTAAATTAACCAAAGACCACATACTTGATCCACACAGAGACTGCATTCAGCTCCTATCTCTCTGACTCAAGTTCCTTCCCTGAACCACAGTCTGGGCCCTATCTTATGCTGGTTCCTTGAAACTGTTGAAGTCCTTTCACCTGATACTAAAAATGTTCTCTAGAAGCTGACTTTACCTTTGTATCAGGTAAAGAAATACTCAGTATGCCTCTTCTTTTCTTCTTAAAAAAAAAAATTAAAAATTTTGTTAACAAAGTAAGATATCCTTCTGAGACCTTAAATCCTAATAGCAGGAGAATCTGGAGTAGGAACTGCAAGTTATCCACAGACTAGAACAGCCTTCTCTCTACCATGCCCATATAATGATCAAAACATCGGCATCTGTATTGAAATATCTAGTCTTTATATAATTTGATTGGCATTTAATTCTCAAGTAACATGTGGTCTGATGACAACCCAAGTTCAGGGTTTCATTCCAAATTATACCAGTGACATCCAAAGGACATTGGATGCTACTTCCAACTTATTTCATTTTCTTTACCTATAAAATATCAATGCTGAAATGATAATCACACAGCATATTTTTAGAGGATATTGAGATACTCAAAGAAATTGATAATCTCTCTAGGAAGGATAACAAAGGCCAAAATAACTACAGAACTATTGGGTTGTCGGAAAAGTCATGACGTATTTGTTCTGTGTTTTCATTGCAAAAATGCATCATGACTTTTCATGACTTTTCCGACAACCCAATATATCAAGTATAAGAGTACACCCAGAAAAAAAAAATAATAATGAAGTCCACTCAAACACATGCTAAAAGCAAAATGCAACAATACTTTGGGACTTCAATAGAATTGTTTATAGTTTGTATTCCTGCTGAACCAATAGAGTATTTTAGACACAAGTGACCACAGAGAACTACTGGGAGATTCTGTCTGTCTCTTCCTACTGAGATGTAGAGACAGACAGAACAAGTTTTATGCCAATGAAAAAACCACGCATATCAGCTACCTACTACTCTCCCTCTCCCAACCTCAGTTTTCTAAGGTAAACATAAAAAAACCAGTTCTTCCAAGCCACTGCAATAAACATTATTTCTTAAAAAGCAGAGAAAATCTACCATTATTATGTCCTTGTGGATATGCTAAAATACTCCATTACAAGAAAGAGACCTATTGAAGCACTGACTCATTAAATTTTCATTGTAAGAGGCCAGTAGATAAAATTCTCTTGATTTTTATATAAGCTTATTGACTTAGAGACAAACATGTATGTAAACAACAGAAATTATAAACATGATTCTGTAGAAGAATATCATGATCATTACCTCTTTGTAATATTAATAGCATTTTAAATTCTGAGACCCGTTGAGAGTTCCTGAGTCTCAGATAAATGTGAGGTGGCAGTAGGCCACTGAGAGACTCATGAAACCTGAGTAAGTGTTGACTCGCCACCACCAAATATTTTAAGGAGCGTCTTTAGAAAAACAAAACTGACTTGACAAAATGTAATGTCTAGTGAAGAGGGGAACCGTTACAGCCAAAACATTAACTTTTTTTTTCCTTTCCCTTTTTCCTTTCCTTTGTATATTTAAAAATCCAATGTTGATATGCTGTGTTCCATCTATTTTTGTAATAATAGTACATACCACCCACAGTTCCACGGTTATTTTTTTTATGCATACATATTCCTGTCAAGCTGTTACACAGACAAGACATTTTTAGAACTAACGTTCATAGAAATTGTAGCACCATAAAATTCACATTTGTGTTGTAGAATTGCTAGCAATGCCCGCAGTGGAATAAGTGTGGAGCTCCAAGACGGAAATAAGGATGGAGGCTGTGTCCCAGGGGGTTACTGTAAAATCCTATTAAGCATTTGAATGATAATGAAGTCCACCACCACAGGGTTTTCTGAAGAACCTTTCTAGCAGATCTCACCCCAGGCCAACTAATAGCCTAAGCGCAGTTTGCCTTAGTTCATTATTACCTCGCCTTTCATGGCTCTCATCTCCCTTTTTGTTCCCTACTCCTGCTCCCCCTCCCTTTCAGCTCAACTGCACCCCAGCCCCTTCCTCAGTCACCCAGTGCCCCCCACCCAAGTCTGCCCAGGAGACCCACTGAAGCCTCCTTTAAGCTTTTCATCCCTACCCCAAATCAAATGTCTTGGTTCTATGTCCTGTCCCACTGGATCTGTGTTCCCTGGGCTCCTTTGAGGAGACATCTAATAGTATAATTATCCGTGCCTTGTCTCCTCCTGGAAACCAGCATGCATGCACCCTTCCCTGTGTAAGGCGCTACCTCTGCAGTGGTGATCAGAAATTGAATTATAGTGTTCCGTTTGACTGATGTTTATTGGATACCTCCATTGTGCAGAATACACGATCAGGGATGTAAAGATGAATACAGTGCTGTTAGCGTCCTCCAAAATAGTCTAAAGCAGGGTCAGCACACATTGCCTGTGAAGGGACAGACAGTAAATAGTTTAGGCTTTGCGGGCCATAGGATTTCGGTTGTCACTCCTTAACTGTGCCAGTCTAGTGCAAAAGCAGCCATTGGCAGTATATAAATTAATGGGCATTCAATGAAACTTCCAGTACAAAACCAGATGGTGGGCCAGTTTGGATCAGGGCCATAGCTCACTGAGCCCTTGTCCAAAGTCACAATCTCCTTTACCACCCCTCCCCGCCCCCTTTTTTTTCCTGGTCTGGTCCCAGAAGGATGGATTCTGTAAATAGAGTAATAACAATAAAAGATAATGATAAAAATAAGGGTCATTTAGTCATCAATGGAGTAGTAACTAGAGGGTTTACTGTTCAGCATTCATATGTGTGTGTATGTGTGTGTGTGTGTGTGTGTATGTGTGTGTATATATATATATGTGTGTATATATATATATAATGACCATAAAGACCTACACTCAGAAATGAATGTAATTCAGAAATATTATTTATAAGATAAGAATTCCAGTTTTTCACAGTGATATAGGGCTTAATGTATTTGAACAAGAGAAAAGGAAAATATATATATATGACATCTTACAGAATCTGAATATATTGTTTAAAAATGTACAAATGTACCAATGGTAGAGTCAACAAAGATATTTACTTTCTGTTCCTATCCCTACTTTAAAATCACCTGGATTGTTCATGTGAATGAAATAAAAATGAAAGCTAATGGTTGTACTAAAACTTGAAGTAGCCAGAGAAGATGCTGAAGGAGCGGAAGGAGAGGAGGAAGAGGAAGACACGAAGGAAATGACCTACAGTCCAGTGAGAGAAATCAACACAGATGATAGGTCCATAGGGAACTCACTGCAAAACAGCATGTGATAAGTGTTATCCAGGAGTTATTTTCCAGACTATCAGTAGATAAACCCAACATGCCAGTGGTTAAATCAGTGAAAGTGTATTTCTTACTGATGTCAGTGAGGCTTGGTAGCAGGAGGAAGGGGACTGTGCTCCATGCAGTGGTTGAGGACCTGGGCCCCTTCCATTGGTAGCTGGGCCATCTTCTAACGCCTCCTCAACCTGTGCCTGTAGCTCCTAGAAGGGCAAGGGGGAGAAGGGGGAGATTTCTTACCCACTGAGCCTGGGAATCACATTCACCATAGTAACTCACATTCTATGGCAAGATCTAGTCTACTGCAAAGAGTGCTGGGAACTGGGGTCGCGGGTCTAGCTGTGTGCTCAGGAGGAAAGGAAGAGCTCAGCTGGAGTGAGCACCAGTATCCTCTGCCACCGTTATGAAAGTACTGACAGATCCCAGCGCAACAGTGCAAGTGTCATGCAGAAGGTGATATTTGAGGTGGAACTTCATGGACAGTGTGGGTTTTGCAATTATATAAGCAAAGGCATTGAGGCAGGGAAGCCCAGATCTGTGGTTGGGGAACAGTAAGTAGTCTTGGGTGGCTAATGTAGAACAGGAGGAAGCTGGCTGTCAGACACACAGATCTTTATTCTGTAGGTAATTGTGTGCAACTGAAATGTTTCTGAGTGGGCAAGTTACATGATCACAGCTATGATGACTGCCAGTGGAAGACGGACTGAGGAGCTGAGGGCAGAGAGATTAGAGCCAGCAAAAAAGATGTCTCAGTGTGTCCCTGGCCCCCAGTTTGCATTTCCGTCTTTCTGCTCTGTTTCTCTCAGCAGGTCTCTAGCTGCCTGACAGCTACCATATTACCAGAGCACCGGGGGAAGGGGGTTAAGTGCAGGGGACAACTTTGGCTGGCTTTGCTCTTTATGCCTCTATAGCCTGGTCATCTCACTTATCAGAGTCCTGCTTCAAGCCTCATTTCCAGGGACATGTCATCACTGTTAGAGAAGTACCTCCATTTTACACTGGTCCCTGGGGCAGAGCTTGAATCACGTTCTTGCCTAGTGTATTCATCAAGGTTCTCCAGAGAAATAGAACCAATGCAGAGCGATGTGGCTAGCTGCAGTCTTGGGAGAGCCAACGATGTAGTTCCAGTCTTAAGGTCATAAGTCTCAAGACCCAGGAAGAGCTGATATTTAAGTTTGAATTCAAGGGCAGGAAAAAGCTTGCCCAGTTTGAAGGCAGTTAGGCAAGAATTATTTTCTACTCAGAGGAAAATCAGCCTTTTAGTTCTATTCAGGCCTTCAACTGATTGGATGAGGCCCACCCACTAGGGAGGGTCATCTGCTTTACCCTGTCTACCGATTTAAGTGTTAATCTCATTCCCAACAAAAATCTCACAGAAACAACCAGAATAATGTGTGACCAAATATCTGGTACCCCACGCCCCAGACAAGTTGTCTCATAAAAGTTTACCCTCAAACCTGGCTTGTGGGCAAGTCAACAAAGCAGATTCTGGGGCCGGCCAGTGGCGTGTTGGTTAGGAGTTGGCTTGGGACGCCAGCTCTGAGCAGCAGGGCCACGGTTCAGATCCCACATGAGGGCCAGTGACACTGTCCTCTACAGCTAAGATGGTGAACAACAGCTGGACCTGGAGCTGGGCTACCATGAGTCGCCGGCGACAGCGTAGGCTGCCTTGGGGCTGGCCGGCAGCGGGCATGAGCTTTCATGAGCTGCTGTGAGCCGCCGTGAGTGGCCGTCTAATGGCCGGCGACCGATCTGCCTCAGCCGGGAAGAGCACAATGATAATACCAACATGGGCCAGTGCAGCAACGTCCTCCACAACTAGACTGAAGAACAAAAGGACAGCAACTTGTCTGTTCCCCTTCCCCAATTCCCCAGCACTGTTCCCAT